CCTTCCTTCTTTAGAGCCCCAGGATTCCCACTGGTGCACTTTCAATTCCTTGGAAAGTGTCTACAGCAGCAGCTGCTGGCCTTGCAGGGAGCCCGGCCACAGGCCATCTGCACTCAGATGACAGCTGTGGCTGTGATGCGCGGCTCCCAAACTAAACTGATCCAGGAGTGCACCCTCACCCACACCAGGGCCCAGAAAGGCCCAGAGGGCTCTGGAGCTTGGAAGGGAATGGAGTCAAGTCATGTTGATGGCTGTGCCCTGGAAAGGCCCTGGCTCTGGCTTTCCCAGTTTTTATTATGCAGTTATTTTCATTTCATGAGATGCCCTGCCCTGAATTTCAACCTTTGTCTTCAGTAACACAACAGCTTTGTTACACTGACTCACTGAAAATCCCCCTCTCCACCTTCTCAACCCAGCCACCTCCCTCCCTGCAACACCGCACATGGGAGTTCTTATGAGGAGACTTTCCTTTTGTGAATCAGGTATCATGGAAAGAGAAAACACAGACTAGAAGTCATCTTTAAAAGAGAAAAAAATTTTTTTGAAATTTTTTACCCTTTGAGGAGTAAGATTTTTTACTTTGTTTTCGGTCAAACTCCACTGTTAGATTCTTTTCCATGTTATACCCACTCACAGCATGACAGCCTCAAAACTCTCATCCTTAACTTTGTGCTTTAGAAATGCAGTTCTTCAGGGACTTAGATACTGCGGACTGATTTGCATTAGGGGACTAGGTATCTTTGTTTCAAGGAGCTTAAGCATCTTAGAAGGAAAGTTCTCCACTAAAAGTCACCAAAGCCCTGCAGCGAAATGGCTGATTCCCAGACTAGAAAGTATGATACCTTCGAGACGAGCCTGGAGCATGTAGTTACAAAAGTAAGGAAGTGCTTCAAAGAAATGATGGGGCGTGTCTCAGTGATGCGGGGAAGCTGCCAGAAGGGGGTCTCATTGCACAAATCAGGTACAATCTAGGACCAAAATGCTTAAGTACAGAAATGAAGTAAAGCATTGATCAAAATCATATGCACATACAGACACACCCTGAGGTATACATGAGTGTATATGGATAATAGACAAACAAACCAAAAAAGGGGCAAAGAGAAGGCTCTTACAGCAGAATGTCCAGTGCCAACTGATAAATGTAGAGAGAGTGGAGCTAGAAAATCCTTTGAGCCATTAAGTACTTCGTGCTCTGCCTGTTCCACCTTTTAATTTGTATTAAACATTCATGGTCACCTTCCCGTGTGAACAAGCCCCTCCAGTTTAGCTCTTGGAAATGATTCCCTGGCACTGAGCTCTGTGCCTGGCACTTTGGATTAAACTAAGCAAAGAGGAAGGAACACAGGCAAACTTACCATTCTGCTCCTCTTCCTCCTCACAGAGCCAGAAAATTCTGCCACTTTCCACTGAGAAGCCTATATTCTCTGTGCCATTTCTTCTAATAGAATTCCAGTCCAGGAACATGATGGCCACTTCTAAAATGGAATTTTGTTTATAACCAATGCAGTGAAACTTTGGGGGAAATGATTTTTCAACTCTTTAGTATAAGTATAGGAAGAGGTTTTAAAGTCAGCTGAGTAAGGGAAATTCAAAGCACAACATTTCTGTTAAAGCACAACCAGGAGAGTTTAGACAAACTGCTGGTGACCTACAGTTGATCAGCTAAAATGGAAATGACACCTCACTGGTGGCTAAAAATGCTCAGCCATGCTAGCTGACACTTGCCATTGCAGACAAAGCCAAGAGAAGTCAGTCCCCAGTTATGAAAGGGTAGAACCAGGGGGAGTGGGTACAGCTCAGTGGTAGAGTGTATGCTTAGTATGCACAACATTCTGGGTTCAATCCCCAGTACCTCCATGAACAAAAAGGAAACAAAAAAAAGAGTAGAGCCAAGGTTTGAACCCAGGCAGTCAGGCCTAAGAAATTACATTTTTAATCTCTATACCAGCACAAGTTACATACAAACTCCCCAGTAAACTTTATTCCTTCCCATGAGTTCCCACCTGAGGTCTGTATCCAAAATTAAGCCATCAGAGTTGCTGGAGACACTCAACCCGATTGACAAGCAACACTTCCCCAAGGCTAATTCATTACCAATAAAAGGTCACATTCCTCCCCATTTAATTGCTATTGTCCAGACAATTTCTTCCTACACCAGGAAGTGCTCTTCAGACTTCTAATCAGAACTCTTTTGTCCTACTTTTATCTGAGGAACTGACGAGGAATTTCTTCCCTCTAAATTCAGCCATCTCCTTTATTCCTCATCGCCCCACCCGCCAATCTCCTTCCACTGAGAGCACTTCACACTGACATCTTGCAATTTCCAGCCCTGACCCGCCAACAGCCTTTATCTTTCCCTGCAGACACTGACCCAGGCTTTCATTAAGCAGACAGGATACTGCCCCATTGAATGCACTTTGCAAACAACCTCCAATCATTTCATTGCAACAGCATGCTTCCTTGTGAAAGCATGGTGGCTTCTCAAATCATTCCATGTTCCACACGGGATCCTAAACTCCCATTTGCAAAATGGAGTTTTCACCTGAGGCATCCAAGCAGTGGCTCATCTAATACACCTATTACAGAGGCTCGGGTGATTTTTTTTCCCAAACTGCATGACTTCAGACATAACAGCATATACCATTCCCTGATTCCTCTATCTTTGGTGTCATCACCTCCTGTGTCTTACAAAATGCAAATGTGCCTGCTCCCTTAAAAAGTGAAAGTAGCAGGGAGGGTATAGCTTAGCGGAAGAGTGCATGCTTAGTGTGTATGAGGTTTATGAGTTCGATCCCCCAGTACCTATATAAACAAACCTAATTACCTCCCCCAACACTCCCCCCCACAAAAAGTGAAAGAAGCCACAGGTTTCAAAGTCCATCTTTGGGGTTCTGGACAGTTCTATGTGGTGTGGAGACTATTTCTAACAGTTTCTGAGTGACTAGCACTGAGCCGGTCACTGCCAGGCTTGATGTGAAGGAGTTGAGGCAGGGCCTCGAGGGGCAGAAGAGGGTTGGAGTTAAGGGCCTGGGTGGGGACAAAGAAGGATTCTGGTCGCCAGAATCAAATAGGACTTCCAGTGCAAGCAACATACCTACAGACATTCCTAACCTAGTGTGAGTGTAAGTAAGTGCAAGCATTTTTCTCCAAACAGGTTTATTACCAGTACAGTATGGCTCAGTTTACTGCTTAATTTTTCACTTGCCAAGCTCCTGGTGTATTCCAGACACACACTGACACAAATCAAAATATTTCAGAGTGAAAGAGGGTCCAGCCTGTCCTTGAAAAGCATGCAGCTAAAGCTAGGCCTGTCCCTAAACTTTGTGGGGCCTGGGACAAGGGGACAGATGGAGGCCCACAAAATTACTTTGAAGTGCTAACCAGGTAGCAGACTGTTACATAATCCTCCCTCCTGGGCCACTGTAGCTTTAGAACAACCTAGAAGGCCAGGTACAATCTGAATTCTCAGCCCCCTCAGAGTTCTGGGCCAGACGTGAAGAGCAGCCTCGGCCAGCGGACTGAATCCCCTCCCTGCCCCACCCAGGCTCCATCTCTTCCCAGGGAGGCCTCATGGGCACACCTGTAGACCCTCAGCCCACATTTCCAGGCTCTTCCACAACCCCAGCACAACTGCTCCACCGGGCACTGCTCAGGAATGCAGTCTACTGCCCCCACTTGCACAGAGCAGGCTTGGGGCCTCTGGGCAGGGAATTTAATAGGCATCTGGGGTGCAGTGGGCAGTGTGGACTCTGGGCGGGCAGCCCAGTCCACCTGCACACACTTAGCCCAATGAGGAGGGGCACAGCCTGGGAAAGGCCAGAGTCTGCCCCCTCTAAACCCAGGGAATAATTACACAGGGGTTCCCTTGCTCAGGTCTGATGGCAAGACTGACTAAAAGCTGTCTGTTTTCTTCTAATTAGATGGGCTTTTCTTTCCTCAAAGCCTTCTGGAAGGGTGATTCCTTACATTAAAGATGAATAAACTGGTTTAAGAGACGATTCCTGTCTGGAAGAGATAAAAGAAAAAAAAACGGAAATACTTGGAGCTATCTAAAAAGACTGACAGCTACTATCCTGGTCTAAAAGAAGGAAAATGTAAATATCCCTCAAACAGCAAAATGGACTGAACAGGGCTCTCCAGGTCGGAAAAGGTGGAATCCTGTCCTGGGGCCTACATTGGGCAAACCTTAACGTTCTCTTTCCATTTTTGTAAGTGGGTGTCCTACCTAGACCTAGGCAGAGGCCAAAGGAGCCCAACGAAGACGAGCCAGCACAGCTGGGGCAGCGGAGTCCCAATCCCAGGAACCAGCACAGGCTGAGTTAAGCTGAGCAAAGGTTTGGGCCTGTGGCAAACAGAACCTCCTAGACAAAGGGAGCCCCGGAGGCAGGCGCGGGGTAGGGGGGCAGCTCGGGCTTGGACTTCATCCCTATGACTCGACTGGCCTGGTATCTGCTTTGCCTTTTCTCATTCAGGGCAAGTTCGCCAAATTTCCGTCCTCTGTGTTTAATTCTCTAAAATGCAAATATTACCTGCCCACATCACTGCCCAGCGATGCCCAGCAGAACTAAGCACAATACCGTACTTCGTAAGCGCTCAGTCAACGGTACTTACTCAGCCCGGAGAGTGCAGGGGCCAGAGCTAGCGCTGAACCCAAGATGTGGGACAAGCACCCACCCACAATATCCAAGACACGCGCTAGAGACGGAGGGGTCGGGTGGGTGAGGTTTTAGGGAGAGGGGCAAACCAGGACAGATGGGGGAAAGCAGACGGAGGTCAAAGGTTACGTCTCAGCCTTGTTTGGGGGTAAGAATGGGGGTACCTTCGAAAGTCACCCAGCTGGAGGTTCAAAGGACCCAACTGGCTGCCATCCGCGAACCCCTGGCGGGAGGAGAAGGAAGCCGCCCTGCACCTTGCTCCACTCCAGGAGAGGACCCGAGCGAGGGAAGCAGCCAGGGGGGAAACGCCCGGCGCTCGGGGGTTGGAGAGACGCAGCCACTCACCCAGCAGCAGCAGCTTGAGCTCGCGGCGCGCATCCTTCTTGTCCCGGCGAAGTTGCCGCTCGATCTCGGCGCTAATGCGCTGCGACTCCTTCTCCTCCGCCGACAGGCAGCAGCAGCCGGCCATGGTGCGCTCAGCACCCGACGGGAGACGCGGCTCCGGGCGCCTCGATGCTCCGCCGCCCGCTCGCCCGGCGGATCCGCTTCGGCACCCGAGTTCGGAAAGGATAGGCGGAGGCCGATTAAAGTTTGGCAGTAAAAGGCCTGGATCACCTGGGCTCTGTCCCTCCTCGACCGTCGGGTCCGGTGTGAGGGGGGCGAACCCGGAGCTTTGGGAACGCTCAAGTGTACTGCAGATTCGGACTCACCCAGCCCCACAACCCGCTCGGGGGAGGAGGAGGGCGAGCTGGGGAGAGAGGGTTGCCGGCCCTGGAAAGACCAGCGCGCCCCTTGGCACAGGAGCTCGACAGTCAATCGGGGAGCACAGACCGCTCCTTAAAAGCTGGGGCGTCGGTGCCCGGAGAAAAGCGGGACCTCCCAGGCCTGCAGGTGTCCCCAACCGGCGCGGCGTAGGTTGGAGGCAAAGGTGCTGGCTGGCCCTTTCTTGCGAAGTTCTGAAGAAACTCAGCAGTGACCGCAGCTTAAGACCGAGTGGAGGTTCCGGCTTGGCGTTTTTGGTTCTAATTGATAGAAGGAGGCGGAGCCTCTCGAACCCGCAGGCCTGGCGCCTGAGGCAGTTGGCCTTCGGGGCGCGCTAAATCGCTGGCACCTGGAGGCGAAAGGGCGAGCAGGGAGCTGGGGAGCGGGTGTCTCGGGGAGCAGCTCCCACACCTGCCACCCTGGCCTTGGCGTCCCGGCGCGGAGGAGGCCGCCAGCCGAGGCTGCAGTGATCAGCGCGCCCCGGGGCGGGCTTCCGACAGGTGATTGAGGTTGGCCAACTCCCAGCCTCAACTCCTTTCAGCTGTAAGCGGAGCGAACCGAGCGTGCGCCGCGGGACTCTGCGCGCCAGGGGCGAGGCTGAGTTCTCTCTGCCCACCTGAAACTGAAGCTCACAACAGGGTTTCCCAGACCGGCTCCTTCCGCTTCCCGGACGCCCCAGGCCAGCTCCTGCTGGACCAAAGCCCTTGGTCAGCTCAGCAGCCTGCCTGCAAGGTGCAGCTGGGCCTGAGCCCTTGGGCGCTGCGCTCAGAGGAGCAGCTGCCCCTGGGTTCGGTTAAATAAGAGAAGTGCGGAAGCAGAGGGTGCATATCCTCCTGGCCCCTTCCCGCCCCGCCAGACGAGGAGGGCTGGGGATGCGGGGAATGGAAAACGGCTGGCTACTTTGCATTTTGCGGTGGAAAAGACTCCTGCTATGCAGAGGGGGCTGACCCGCTTCCAGCAGCACCTGGCGTGTTCCCCGCCCCAGTCCTGAAAACTGAGCGCCGCCTTGCAAAGATCTGTTCGCACAGCCACCGTGGCCTGGCTCCTGGAACGTCGGGATCACGTTTGAGCTGCATTAATAAAAACTTAAAATTAAAAAAAAAAAACCTCTGCACTCAAATGGCACGATAGAATGCAGGTTACAACATCCGATTTTGTCCTCTGTGTACCTTTTGAGGCAAAGCCAAAGAGGTCCATAGGAAAAGCAGATAAGGGAAGGCAGAGGAAGGGCATCCTGTCGTCCACAGCAGTGAACGTGTTGTGTTTTTTTTTTCCTTCTCCTCAAGTCAGCATGTGCCATGTAAATAAACACTTTATGGCATTAGGCAATTAGCTAATGCTTCCACTATTAAGAGCAAGCATAAGTGCCTTTCTTATGAGTAGCATATATTTAATCAATTCAAACTGAGGAGCATATTGAGTGGAGAGAGTGGTATGTGTGATTATATAAAGAACTTGGCATTACCATGCTATCTGGCTGCAAAGTCTTATTAGTTATTTTACAGTTTAGGGAATGGAGAGGCATCAGGCATTAAAAATGAATGTGCATACATTCTTAAATGCACGACTATTTTATTTCCTTGCAGGCATAAATTGATAGTAATAGTGACCCCTACAGGAAAGTTCCCAGACATTTCTTACTTGATCCGTAGTCATTTAGGCACACCTTTCTCTCTTAGCTTTTACAGATTCATTTACAATTTGAGAAAAATGACCTCAGCTTCTCAAACTTATAACTGCATGATAGTTATTAGTGTTTTTTAAATGATTAAAATCAAGGCAAATATGAACTCCCAAGTCAACTGAAATAACTGACCTGTTAGGTCTAAAGTTGCTAAGGTTTCAAAAAAGATATGAAAAAGCAAACTTCTTACTACAAATCTGCGAAACTTTCCTGGGCTGGTCAGTTTGGCAGTGTGTAGCAGAAACCTTAAACGTGTCCATCCCCTTTGACCAAACTAGCAATCCTTCCCTTAACAATCAGAGAAGCCATGGTTTATGTGCAAAGGTTTTATTCCTACTAACAACAACAAAACAATCTAATAACTAATAACTCAAAACAATCTAAATGCCCACAAGGGTGACTAGGTCAGATAAGTTATGGTATATTCATATAATGAGATATTATATGGTCATTAAATATGGAAATATGTGAGTAATAAATAAGTGAATAACAAAGAATTGAAGGAAAACCTCAAAATATATTGAGTGTAAAAGGCAAGATACAAAAATATATCAATTTGATACAAATTGTATTGTGGAAACATACATATGCATTTTTAAGGGATTAACGGGACCTCCACCAACAAGGTAAGTTGCCCTGAGTCATAGCTTTCTGGTTGATTTTAATTCTCTGATATAAAATTATTTGGGGCAGATTGCAGAAATAATCTAGGTCTGACTTTCCCCAGCTGTAAAATGAGAGGAGATGAACCAGAATAAGCTCACAGGGATCCCCCAATTCTAACATTCAATTATTTCTTTGATGATTTTCACACTTATAAAATCATATTAAAATAGTCATAAACCTAAAGTTGTTATTGTCCAGCAGTAGCTAGAGAGAATTGTAAAACTAGGATAATCACAAGTCAATTATTTTTATACTTCCAGTTTCTTTTTATTCACATCACTGTTTTCCTAATCTTTAGGATCTGGGGGAGGGATGAGAATAATTTTAAGTTACTAATTCACTTGTAATGTCTCTCCAAGAAGGGGTAGTTTTGAAAAGAAGTCTCAGTAAAAAAGAATATTTTTCTTAGATTATTCCCAAAGTGCTGCAATTCCATTTCATTCTTAAAGATTAGAGCACAGCCTGGATGTGACTTTTCAGATCTCTGCAAAAGTGAACTAATTGTCAGGTACTCCTCTGCATGTCCATGGAGTCCATGCCAAGCCCAACACCAGGTTCTGGGGATTCAGATAATGAGACATTCCAGACTTTAGGTGGGCTACTTTCTAGTAAAAAGGAGTAAGACTAAGACCCTGAAATCTGAACCCAGCCCTCCTTGCTTCCTTCCAGAGAGCAGTGAGAACACAGAAATCACCTGGGTAGCTCCCCACAACCTACAGATGTGCTTAGCAGGCCCTTCAGCTATCAGCTCCCTTCAGCTGACCTCATCTCCCATAACCCCAGACAAAAGTAACTACATGTTCTCCCCACCTCTCTCTCTCTCGGTGCAAGCTGTTCCCTTTTCCAGGAATGCCATCTCTCACCCCAGGCAAAGGCAGGTACTTTGTTTCCCAAACACATCTCATATGAAAAACCTTCTCCACCCCTTGTCAATCAGACCCATCTTTCTCTGCTGCCTGAGGACCTCCAGTTTCCTCTATTCAACATCCCACGCTGCTATGCCTGTTTGTTTCTTCTCCTAATATATTAGTTACGTATGGGTAGAGAGCTTTTTTCTTGTTCACCTTGCTATTTCTAAATTAATAAAACTTAGTTGACTGGATAAAATTGAAACCAAAAAAATTAGCCTGAGATAACAAAAAGAAACTAGAAGAGAGAACAGAAGGTTCTTGTAGTAGAAGACAGTGAAAACCAACAAGCAAGTCCACAGCAAGTCGAAGTGTGATTTAGGAAGGATATTTTGTTCTCAAGATGCCCTCCTTAGAGGGAATGAGTGCCCTGTTTCTAAGGAAATTCCAGGGAAATGTGCAAGCAAGGGGCTGGAAAGATGCCATTCTCTTTGACAAATGTAGCATCTTAGAATTTTAACAAGTAACACAGAATAAAAACATGACCTTGAAGAAGGTCACAAAGCTAAAAGAGCACTAATAATACATCTATGCTGCTCTGGGGCACTATTTTTCACACTACAGATGTGACCCATTCCTGGTTGTGACCAGCATTTTTTTTGTTTTAAAGAAAAAGAATATCAATAGGAAATATCAAAGTAGGCTACATGTATTATCGTTCCATGGAAATTTTGTTTCAGTTGTATACATAAGTATCAGCTCTTAAGCAGACCAGTCATTAATGGGGGTTACTTGTCCATATCCCAGATAGGCTGGTCTAAATGATTCCTAATTTTCTAATTCATTTTTTTCTAAGACCAAGATGTTTGCAATTTTTCATTCAATCTTCTGAACCCAATGTGTTCTCTAAAATGTTTCGAGTCCTTCCCTCCTATCACCACTCCCCCCTTTCTCTACTCAGTCATCTCTAGCTTTGGATGAGCTTGGTAGCTGAGAGTTGCTGGAGTGGTGATGGATATTTTGATGAGTAGGTGATAACTATAGCTGATGATCGAAAGGTACTTAACATCTATTTTTCTAAGGCAGGCAACATGTCAACATGTTGCTCCAAAATATTTTCTGCCTGAAGATCAGAAACTGTTTATTATCTAACTTCCACTGAACAGGCTAGAATTATAGACAAGGAAGCCTGCCTTCAAACACACTTGACAGTGAGTGGGCAGGGATCGCTATTGTTTATTCTTCAATCTGACTTTTCATGGAAGTTACATTATCTCAAGAATTTAAGGAGTAGAAATCTTTAAGATAAGGGGTTTGGACATTTTTCTTTTTCTTTTCCTTTCCTTTTTGCTTACATCCTCCCCTCCTCCATTTAGATCACTCTCTTCTTGAATGAACAAATGTTAACCACCTAGTACATTTTCTTCTTTTTTATGCTCTAATGATCATATATATAAGCTTAAAAAGACTCATAAATGTAAATAAATGTACACAGAGGGAGTTTGTCATCATTAGTTTAAAAATGGGACCATATTACATGAACTCTAAATTTTGCTTTTCTCACCTAATAATACATTGTGAGAATCTAAGTAAACTCATAGTAAACTCTGATTCAGTC